ATTGTTATCATAAAAGAATTTTTTAGATCAAAACAGTATTTGCAGTGTCGAGCGTGGTTGCGCACAGGAATATTTTCCATGTTTAATTTTTAACATGTAATATTGACGTTCTTTCATCTTCAGAGATGAAATGCAGTTTAATGCTGGGAAGTGGAAAAGTAATTAGACTGGGGGCAGAGATTTGGGAGAGTATGTATCAGTAAACGCAGCAAATTTGTTACATTTTTTGAAACTACAATAGGGAAAATGCTTGTTAGATGTTGTATTCTTACCATCGTTTTGCTGTTAGTGATTGCTTGTTACTGTTTTGATCTGCCTTTTATATCCTTTAGTTGCAACGTTTGGCTGGACCTCATTGGCTTTAGAAATGCTTCTTTCAAATAGAAAAACTGAACAAGATGATTGTTGGTGATAATGACTAGATTTAGAGGCAAGGTTTTGAGTAGTTTTCTTTTTTTTTTTGATTTTCCAGACAATTGTGGCAAAATAGTTATTGCCATGTTGAATTTACGCACACTGAAGGGGAATTTAGTTTGGTCAATCATTTCTTGAACACCAGCTGAGTGTTCTTTTTGGAGTCAATGTTCCGGCTTTTAAGGAATTACTATATTATCGCCTCTTTGTATCAAAAGACCTTCATTAGTGTTTTATTAGTGTACCTGACTGTTTGAATAGTATTTTGAGTTAGTAGTCTTGTTTTTTTTTTGTTTGTATTTCTTTTTGAAAATATAGGTGTTTAAATTTTAGTAGTTTAAGTATACTCGTAGCTTATGTTATTCTTGAAAATATTTATTCCGGATGACTTAGATTTGTTGAAGTTTTTTTGCGCTTTGTAGAAGTGACGACTTTCTTATGTCTTTGTTGATGAAATGTATTTGTCGATTACTAATTATGTAGATATGGCGCGATGAAAAAAAGTTTGGTACTAATCCTAAGCTTTATGGAGTTTTTGGATGATACGCGAGAAATTATCAGTGCACATATAGTTGCCAGAAAAAGAATTTGGAGACTTCGTCCGGCACTGAAAAAGTTTGCTTCTCGTTTTTATATAATTGTGTATTTTTGTTTATTGTATTGACAACTAACGGAACGTTTTTGTTCTTTTTAGTTCCTTTAAAGTTGCCTCTTTCGTATATAATAGATTTTCAAGACTGTTTTAATTTACAGTTCTTTTACAGTTTCATCGAGCTCAGTCAAATAAGGTCAAGTTCACCGGTTAAGCTCTCAAATAAAAGAAGTATTTACAGCTACAATAGAAATTGTAATTTCTCAGAAACGACAAGCAGAGACGTAACCGTGAATATAGCCCGAGACAACTACAGGGTTAGTTGTCAACATTTGGTTTCAGTTTTTTTAAGTAGTGAGCTTTTTTGTTTTATTTTTTTCATTATACTTAATTTTTAGTAATTCTGTTTAATTTACAGAACGTTTGTAAATATGGTTTCCGGTGTTAAAACGACTTTTGGGCAGTTGCGAATGGGGAGACTTTGGTTTCTGGCCTGTTTTATTTTCTGGCAAGACTTTTTCATTCCGGAATTGTAATGCGTGTTAGAGCTTGGGCATTCATTGAATGCTTATTATTTTAAACTTCAGGGTACTTTTTAGTAGTGTAGTTTTTGGATTAGAGCAGTTAAATTTTTCGACCTAGGTCAGCTGTAAAAAAGTTCAAGTTGACTATGTTCTTAAAGAAGTTCTTGGTTAGGAAAACAAGATATATGTTATTAAGAAATGTTTATAAATGTATAATACAGATTCAAGCGTAGTAATTCGCGTGTTTTGGTCTTGTGCAAGTGATGTGCGGTGCTATACCTAGTTGTTAAGAATTTGTTGTCTTGACTAATTTCCTTTTTTCTATCAACTTTTTTATGAAAACTGAACGTACGTAAAGCTCTCCTGATTATCTCTTAAACAATTATGGGTACGAGTAGTTTGGCTCAAAAATACGTTACCGCTTATCACAAATTCTTTTGTACTATTTATTTCGGAACCCTTGTGATACATCTTTTATTTTTTTTGGTAAAATTGTTGTGGTTGTTATTAATATTAAACAGTTAGATGGATCAGTGTCGTCTTTTGCTGGCGAGTAGATATTCACTATATGCATTATTTTGAGTAGAGCAGTTTGAAATAGGTGCTCAAATTTAAAACTTAATTTCATTTGAGTTTTGGTTTTGAATATATCTGATTGATGTATGAAAGGTCTACTGTTTAGAAGGCTTCTGATTTATGTATAAGGAACCGGAAGGAGAATTACAGGGCTTTTGTAATGGCTGTAATGAATGGCAATTTTGTGATTTCACAGCTAATAGCATGGAGGCTGAAGAAGAGGTTTAGCAGATTAGCTGTTTGTCCTATTTTTCCGTCAAATTTTGATATGTCGAAAGCGAGTTTGTTTTCATTAATTTTAGTTTCGTGTTTCCGGCTTGCTTTTTTTTCAACACAACTGGGAAGATAATTCTTTAACTGTTTAGGGGGACTGTCTCTACTCTTCACAGAGCTTTTTCAACTAGTTGTTACAGTACTACCTTTTCTGTTCTTTCATTGATCTATTTTTTTCCGTTTTAAGTTAAAATTGTTTATTTTGAAAGGTAATATTACGGTAGATAATGATGGCATTGTACTGTGTATTTCACAGCAGCAGGATCAGAAATTTGTTTTTTAAAGGTGTTTTGAAATTGGGGTTTTGATTGTTCTTGTTTGGGTGCACTTTGTTATTAATGCCTTAAATGACGGGGTTGCAAGACCCAAAGAATAATTTATTATTTTTCTGGATAGTTTTTGAACCGCTGTTGGGATCTTATGTCTTTCAAATTTAAGCCCTAATTTGGAAAATTGTTTATGGCAAGAAACAATTGGTTTTAAATTACTGGAAAGATTTTAGCGTGTCGAGTGCACTGTAGGCTGGTTTTGCAGTTTGTGAAGACGATATAAAGTCGATTTGGAAATGAAGTAATTCTATGGGCGTGAGAATTGGCTAACATTTAAAAATAGTCTCGAGTTTCAAGGTTCGTATAAGTGTTTGCAAATATGAAGATGAAAACGCAGTAAAGAAAGTTTTTAGATGGAATTATTCAATGGTTCTTCTGTGTAAAAAAGGTTTATTGAACTAATGCTAATTTACATTTATTGATTTTGATACAGTTGTAGATTTTTTGAAAAAACACTTTAGAGCATACTGTTGATTTAAAACGGAAGCAGTTCTAAACAGCTCTCATTTTTAGACGGTATTTTACAAAAGACATTTGGTTTAATCAATTTTAATGCTAAGTTGCTTGTCATTGTCAAGAGCGAGTTTTAAACTTCTTTTTGCATTTACCTTATCGAGTTGAGAAGTTTAGAAAAGTAGACTGCAGTATTGATTTTTTAGTGGCTTATATAGTTGGTTCTAGCAAAGCATCCTTTAGAAAATTCACCAAATTGGAAGCTCAAATGAAAGAAGCTATAGCTTCTTTTAGAACTTTTAAAACGTTCTGTTGGATTGACGTTTTAGGGGTAAGTTCAAACGGACAAATGAAGAAGGTTTCAACTTGTTTCTGAACTGTTATGTCCGGCGAGCACTGGAAGCACGTTTGGCTGTGTAGTGAGATTTTAGGTGTGGTTGATATTGGTAAACCTTTTGCTTGTCAGCATTTCATTTTGTTTATTAAAGGGAGATTTGTATCTTGTAACTGGCTAGTGTTTCGGAACTCTTATATTCTGGAACTTGGGGCTGGAGCAACAGGAATTCCAGGAATTGTTGCTGCAAAATGTGGTGCAAAGAAAGTTGTGTTAACAGATCATCCAGAGAAAGCAAAGGTTTTCTTTGAACACTCTTCTGTCTGAAGATTTGAATTAATTCAGTTAAGTTTTTCATTCTTTCTTTGTACGTAACTGAGTTAATGTGAAAAGGTGCTTTTAAAGGCTTTAGAACTTTTGGAACGCAACTGTTTGCTAAACGATATATCAAGGACATCGTTTGTGGTTTTGGTAGGTTCTTTGACTGTTGCAACCGAACCATCTTTTGTTCTCTTTTGTTGCTAATAGTTCATTTAAATTTAATTGTTTCTTTACTAATAGTTTCAATGTTTTGTATAAAAAAATATTTTAGGGCTTAAACTGGAATTCCGCTGGCTGTTTAAGGAATTGTTTGATGGTGCTCGACAAATTGGACTTTATTTTTGCTGCAGATGTTTTTTACGACCCTTCAGTTTTTGAACCTTTCGTTGGAACTTTATGCCGTGTTTTCGAAATTTTTCCAAATGCGCAGTGCTTGTTTACTTACGAAGAGCGGGAGTTTGTTTTCATTGATTTTAATAAATTAGCTTTTTATTATGGTTATTTTTGGGTTTTTTTGGTTTATGATTCGTAATTTAAATTAAAGTGCAGAACGGAAATTGGAGAGTAAAAAAAGTAAAGAATTTATCGTGACATTGTAATGATTCTATATTTTCACAGATAGGGAGAAGGGAGAAGTGTAGCCTACGTATATTTGTAGGTTTTTATTGTACCTTTCTTTTAGAGCATGCTGTTGTGGCTACATTTCATCTACTTGATTTATATTGTCTTTTTAATCGAGTAAAAAGCAAGAAAGAAAAGAAAAAAGCAATGCGCTTATTGAATTTCTTCAGGATTCTGTTGCAGCATGAACTTATGCTTGTTCATTGTCCAGTTCTTCAAAATAGCACCAAAATTGCGATCTTTGAACCACTGTTATTCAAATATGTCCTTTCGGTGTTTATTCAGATTTCTTTTTTTTCTTCTATTTCACTGAGGCAGAACTGATTCAGAAATACTTAGCGCGAGTTATTGCCACGTTTTTGTCTCAATGTTGATTTTATATAGTTATTTGGAATATACTAACCTTCACTGATTGTCATTTTTCCTTCGCTGCCAAGTCAAATCAATGCTTGTTATCGATAACAGGATGCATCTCATTAAATTTTAATTTTGTTATCATCAATTCAGCAACTGCATGCATACCCTTTTTCACTTCAGTCTTGCGTTCGCCTCGTTTTTTTTCAATTTTAGGTGCTTGCTTAGTTTTGCTCTCTCTTTTTGAATGGGTAAAAGTTTTACTGTTTAAACGTCGGGATTAACTATGCAAAAAATCAGATGCTTTTGTTATGGAATGGGTTTATTATTTAAAGGTATCGGATGTATTACAAGAATTCGAAGAATACAAAATGAAATTTTTTTTTGGTGTTGATTTTCAATTTTCTGTCTAACTGATGGAAAAAGTGCACATTTATCGTTGGTTATTAGTGTACAACAGCAGAAAAAAAAAGAAACGAATTTTTACTTGGTGATGCCGATGCTTTTCTTATTAACGACGGCAACAACAGTAACAACAGTTGTAGTCTTATAGATATTTGGTTCACTGTTTACAAGTGGTTTTTGTACTTTATAAGTATTGAAAAAGACTAATGCGACTGACTGCTGAGTGACTGACAAACTAACAATTCGCTTCTATCGTCGCTGTTGGAGAACTGCTATCGTTTATCATCAACTGATTGCTTATGAATCGTCGATCGCAATGAATCGTACTGTCTGTTACCTTTGCCTGGTGTTTTGCGATGTTGAAGCCCCATTTCTTTTCCGGCAAGAAAGGAGAGGAAAGCTATTTTTAGACTACTTAACTGCTTTTTTTTTCAAAATGTTAACTTTGTAATTTTGCTTAATGAACTTTAATTGTTTGTGTATTTTTATTCTTCTTTTTCCTTTTTTTTTTCGAATCCTGAAGATTAGTTTAGTTTAGTTCTTACTTTAAAAAGCGTTGGTCTATATTATTGCACTTTTATTTTTTTTCCCTTTGGTGGTGCCTGCAAAAAAATTGTTTTTTATACTATTTAGAGATTATAGACCACAGATATAGTGTTTAAGTGGTTTCTATTGATTCTACTATCAAATTATCATTTCATGAAATTATTGCTGAATTAGCATTTTATTTTGCAGTACAGTCGTTCTGCGTTTGACACCTCAGTTCTTCTAGTTGTTTTTTCATAATTTTAGAGAG